TGATCTCATAATAGCATCAGGGTGCAATTTCTGGTCCCTAAACCCACCTTGTTTGATTTAATCCAGGAATCTCAGTACCATACTCCATTAAACACTCTGCAGTATTTGCCTACATCCAGGAACTCAGCTTTTACCATGAGTGTCATGACAAAAGTCATTGTAAATTCAGAGTGAACTTCAGCATCTCTTCAGTGCTTCTTCCCGCTCATCAAATTCAGTTCTGTCACTGGAGATCAATTCAGGTAATTACTCTTTCAGATACAAAAGTCAAGAACACTAAATTACTATGATTTCTAATGTTACTTAGTGAAAATTTTAGTGTACAAATAGTATACAAGTTTTTCACTTTGATGCCCAACATGGACACCTAGGCTACTGTGTTTCTGTAGGTAGCAGCTCTGAGGAAAAAAGGAAATTGGCCAAAACCTAGCAATTTTGGTGAAGGATTTTAAAAAATTTTCCTTCATTTAGATAAAAAAACCTCATCCCATCCACAATTAGCTCTGCAAGAGAGAGAAAGGATAATAAAACAAAATCTGTTCTAATCTTCCCATAGATTGTTATTTCTTGTAGATGCTTTTCATTTTACAAGTTTTGCAAATGTACTCATTAATAAACTCCTAATTATTCAGAAACTGCTAAACATTGACAAATGCAAGCCTGGCATAGACTTGAGAAAAATATTTTTGAAAACAGTTGTGATTCTTAATGTTTATTCAGCTTTTGTTGCCATTACAATTTCTTTTCAGGAAAGGTAATATTGCTTAGTCTAACTCAATACAGCACCTAGGATATTCTGTGCATTGTCAGCAACTACTGCTAAGTAATCTTCTTCCCACTTATTCATGTTTATTTCGAAAGTAGTCCATTCCTCAGTGCCCAAGTTAATATCCTATTAAAAAAAAGTTAAAAAAATAATAATATAATTTCCATGTGTTGAATTTCAATCTAAGTGTAGAGGGGAAATATGCAATGACTTTTTGGGACTGTGGTGTGCAGAATAGGTCTGTTTCTGGTGGACAATTTTTGTTCCTGGTTGCCAGCATTGTGCATCCTCTTTCAGTTATTAACATTCATCTGCAACTCATGTACATCTAGTAGTGAGGACATCTGTGCAGGCAAGGCATGCTGTTATTCTAAACAAGTGAGGTAACTGATAATCTTTTTCCTTTCTAAAGTACGTGTCAGAAATATCCAGCAGTTCTATTATGTTGACTCAGGCTATTGTTAGCGTGAAGAGGATTGAGTTCTCCTGTTGCTTCTCGCTCAGAAGCATCCTGAGTTACCAAACCTTCTCTATTTCACGCTTTCTCTTAGTACTGATATGACATTTTGTTTTCTAAAGAAAGTCTATCCATTATTCATTTCCATATTACCTGCAGAAGGATTTCTAATTAAATTCAACTGTTTCCTTTGGAGTAGTTCAAGCTTACCGGGGATTAGTAAAGTATATTTGTAAAGAGGAGCTGTGTGGTCAAATGGAAAACTGGCTCTTTAATTCTGAATCTCCCTTCTTACAAGACAAAAGCTTTTTTTATCACAACACACAATAAGTTTCTTGTTACCTATTTACTTGAGCAAGAGAAAATCCTATCTCTTAGCTGTGATTTGGATTATATATTATAATCAGAATTATTATAATGCCACAGAAGAATAACAGAAATGGTTGGACAAGTACTAACACACTACCCACAACTGCCATTAGGAAATTACTAAAAAGCTAAGAAAAAAAAAAGTTAAGTGAATCCTTCACAAAATGTTAAAAGAGAATTCTCAAAATACAAAAAAAAGCATTTTAAATCTTTCAACTATGAAAACTGGAATATTGTAAAAACATAATTATACTTTAAATATATTTTTTAAAAAATATATTTACTTTAAATATACAGACTTCTTTTTCCCTTCTGGATGGATTTGACCATTCTTTGAATTTTATTTTACTAGGTGATCTATGCATCCCTACTTCATTAAATTTATTCAATTTGATGATTAAAGCCTTTTGAGGGAAAAATGTTTGACACATTAATGTAAGATGATGTTTAAGAGTAACCTATGTGAATACATATAGAATAAATTTATTATCTACACAAACATGTTTTAGGTTTCAAGAAATGTATTTTTTTTAAGTTCTATTTAAGTAAGAAGTTATAGACATTAAAATAAACATCAAAGCTACAAAAAAATCAGAACAACAAACAACCTTAGGCATACTGACACTTGTGTATAGCTTTCTGAATTAGTTTAAAATGCAATTAGCTGTCCCTTGACAGGCCTTCTTTCTCAATAGCTGTGAAAAATAGCATGCAATGATAATATTTTTCAAGACTGTAATGAAAGACTTCAAAAAGGAAAAAAAAAAGGGATAAAGAAAACAAAAGTATTTCAAAACCAAGATTTGGGTTATTAAAAATTTTTAGCAGTGAAAGTGACAGTGAAAGGAATATAATCATTACCTTTCCAATCAGAAAAATTAGGATCAGAGCTAACAGTAAGAGCATCTCAGCTGTATACTGGTGTCCACTATCCGTGACATCATGGGAGTGCACATTTTAATTTGTGTATTCTGGAACATAATGCCATCCAGGCTGAAGTGGTGACAGTAGTTCCTCTCTTCTAAGATCTCCCTGTACCTCACACCATATTTTTCCCATTCAGAATAAAAGGTATTTTACAGCACTTACCAGATTTCATGAGAGGTTCTTGTTTATTTTATTAGTGAAGCATCCCCGTTATCTGTCTTTGTAAGATTCCTCCTGTGGCTTGAAAAATAATCCATACCTTTTGTAAACTTTCAAATTTAGTGATTTTTTCATGCAATTTACCCTTGACTTTTTAATGTCTAAATGATTTCTGCCCTTATTCAGTAGCTCCCCATAGTTTCTGACTATTTTGTCAGAATTTCTGACTATTTAGATCAAAGCCACCAGCTGCCCTTTTATTTTTTTACCTATTGGTAACCTCAGAGAGAATGGCCACAATGAAAATGTCATTATTCCTATCTGGACAGAGTCAGGTTAGCAACAAGGAAAATAGGGGCCTTTTTTGTCCTCTACTTGTGAATACTGCTGAGAAATTGATGGCAGGGTAAAATAAAACCCATCAGAATGGAGTATGAATTGAAAAGCATCCAGGAAACAGAAAAGAGTGAGGTGGAGGCTTGGAGAGCTGGATGTAATGAACAATGATTGAGAAAAGCTAATGACAAAAGTGGAGACAAGAGTCAAGAAGCAACAGCAAAGAGATGAAACAGTAACTTCATTCCCTTGAGAACTATCCACTGTAGCACAACCATGTCAGCACATAACACAAATATTGGTTACTCCAATTCTCTCTTTTGATTATATAGCTGCTTCAAAGACACCTCTCAGGATCATCTACCAACTTAAAGAAATGATCACATTTTATGAAAAGTTTTCTCAACACTCAGCAATGTCTGATAGCACATGAACTTACAGAGAAAGGTAATTTTTTTTGATTTTCCTCTCTCCTGAGACAAGAATCAAAGATTATTTTCAGTTTAGGTGTTTACTTGTAATGTGTTCTATATTCTTTTCATAAATTTTAGTATGAAAATGACATCTCTTCCCTTTAGAAAATGTCCTCACAGAGGTTTGTTTTATTATATTTAATGAAACAGAAAAAAAATGCTCTGTGGGGCTTTATGAGAGAGTATCTTTATAGAGAATCAATCTGAGAACTTTCAGATTATTGAACGATTATTACTATTCTTTTAATAGTGTTACAAGCTGCCTGAAGGATTAAAAGTGTCCTGATGCAAAGTATTTGATTCAAGACACACAGTTAAAGTGCTGTAATCTGCATTTAGTAAGGCATGATGTTATTTGCCCATTTTATGCCAGTACAGTGCGACGTGGATAAACTCATTTTTATCACAGTGACCTGCTAATAATGTAGTAGCAGTAAATAGAAGGTCAGATTTTCTTCTTTAAGCTGTAGAGTTATGGACAGGCAGGAAAGATGACAGAAAATATGCATAAAACTAGGCAGATGAAAACTCATTATGGAATTTTTCAGTCAAAATATGATGTTTTGACCAAATTACATCATTTTGGAGAAATACAGCAGCTTTTCCTGTTTTGTTTTTTAATGGGAAGAAGGCTCAAGACAACTGATGAGTTCCCATTCAATTCATTAAATTCATATCCTTCACTTGTTATTAGCTGGTGCTTTTAATACAAAACTTTAACTTCACAGAAGGGGTGAGAATAAGGGGTGTCCTTACTCCACACAGGGCAAAGGCTCTGAGAATCCCTAGGAAAGAGAAGAAATTAGAAGGTGCAGAGGACATATGGAGGGAGCAGGTCAGATACTATCAGGTCACCTGGAAACTGGGAGCAGGTGGTTATGGATTCATGAGCTGGACTGGGAGAGCAGCTCGGACCACTGCAGCTGAAACTGGTGATCGAGTCCTCAGAATGAGGCACTTTGAAGGGTTCTTAGAAGGAAAGAGGAGAAAGGGAGGGGATAAATGGGAAAAGGAACTGAGAAATGAAGGAATTCTCTTGTGTTCACAGTGGGCTTGGTTTAAGTGCCTTGTCCTTCCCACAAAGATCTGACAGATCCTAGGGTGATTCTGAATTGTATCCCTTATCCATGTGTTTTCCAGACCCTGTCCTCATTCTCCCAACTTTCATGAAAGTTCATGCACATCGGTGTCCAGCAATGACACTGAAAATAAACCATAATTTCAGTCAAAATGCAGTAATTTGAATCACAAATATGAAATCTGATTTGTATGGAAATGGAAAAACCTCAAAAAATATTTTTCTTTATGCCAAGAAAGGCTCCTGTTTCCACCTGTGTCATGAGACTAAAGACACGAATATAACTTTGAAAATACTATCCATAAGGTGAGATATAAGACCCACTGCTAGATGCAGGTGAAGTATTTTACTTTTGCCAGTTAGTTTTGAAATCTTAACTTTTTTGAGCTGAATTAAAATTTTTTCTATTTCTGCTCTAATGAAGTCACAGCAGTGAACTTCCTCAAGGTTCTCACTCGTAAGTTCTCTTAGCATTAGCAGAATACTCATCAGAGCAAGCTTCAGACATGTGGCACAGATTATCCTTCCTTTCCTCAGAGCTGGCACTTGACTTTGTGTGCATGTTGATAATTCTAAATAAACTGACTGCATTCGACATGGATGCATATAGCGCCTATGTACCAGGGAAGCTTGGAATGTTAAATATCACTTCAGGAAAACTGTATTTACACACATGCTGACAGTTCATTTCCAGGTAGGAGCTTCTCAGCTGATTTGTACACAGCAGCCTCAATCTCCAGTCTTCCCACTGTGAAATTTTAGACAGCTTGTCTGCTGAGCTCTTGCCAGACCTATTAATATTTATACATTCCATGCACATTTCAGTCAGAGCATGTAAGTTGCAGATCTCTCTGATTTAGAAGCTATTAAGATTCATGACCCCTTTAGCTATTTCATCTATGGTCTTAAAGCCTTTGCAATCAGCTTACACTTGAAGAAGGACAAATCATTACTGCTCAAATATTGTCTTGCATAGTGTCCATTTGTAGTCCATCAAAGAGTAGTTAAGAACTTCAATGCATTCATTTATCTCAGAGACACAGGTTATTATAGGAGCCATTTTTTCCTTGGAAGAAGAGAGAATAGGAATGTTATTTATTCAGTTGCATTTAATTTTGGATTAATGGCCTTTTTAGCTGTGGCTGCTTCTCTGCATATGAAATTGATCTAATTCATTTTTTTGTTCTCACATCTTGTCATGCATTTGGGTACATTTTACAAGGGTACATTGATATTTTTGTCAAGGATATCCATGTAGAAAAAACAGTCTGCCTCCTGAAATGTAGTGATGACTCCACCAGAAGGAGTCAGTGTTCTCCCCTTCCTAAAGGTTTATATGTCTTAGAATAGTGCAGTGTTCCATCACAGACTTCTTCAGGATCCATGAGAAATCTCAGTTTTTTTCTAAATCCAAGTCAGTGTTTCTTCTGTAACAGTTCAAGAGTGATTTAGATCTCCACATCTCTCAATGAATGCAATGAATGATAGGAATTCAGCATCTCTAAAGATTTATCTCTGAAGCCTGTAAAGGAATACATCTCTGTAGAAGAAAGCAGTGATGATAAAAAAAAAATAAAATAAATGTTAGAAGTGTGAGAATACTCAGATTCTATAACAGAATTTGTAACTATGATCTTAAGAGCCTACTGAGAGCTTCCATTCTGTACACTTAGGACTGTGTAATACTCTTTCACATTGGGACATCAGTGATTATCATCATACAATCAGCATCACCATTGTGCTGCTTACTTGGAAATAACAAAAGTTATACACTGGTGCATTTTGAAAACCCAATCACTTGTTTTTTTAAAATTTTAGGGGAAATTTTTGCCTGAAAAATTTAAAGAAAACAGTGAAATTGTACTGGTATTCTTACACAGAAATAAAAACAAATTATGATTTCCTTAAATGTTTCTCTCAATAAGTTTTTTTTATTTTGTCTTGTGTGGAGAAGCACATTATGATCAGAAAAATAATATCAGAACTTTGGGGTTTTTGTGTTGTTTGTTTGTTTGTTTGTGGGGGGGGGGTTGGTTTTTTTTGTTGTTGTTTTTCTTTGTGAAAAATAGAGTAATGCTTGAAATTTTGAAACTGCATTAAAGCCTGTGGTTAGACATTCTCCTCCTGGGAACCTGAGTACATACATCATAAAAACTTGTTGAAATTTTCACTACTGACTTCAACAGGAAGAAGACATATAGCATTTTTAGCATATGCAGTCCATCATATATATTTTGCACCTTTTTTTTTTTTTGTTTTTTTACGTCTAGAAATACTCAATACAATCTTTAATTAAAAGAATTTATTCTCAGCTGCTGCCTTCTTACAGGAAGTCATAAAGTTTCTGTCAGCAATATTGTTTTCTGTGTGATAAAATGATGTGTTGGCAACAGTTTAAATCATAGTTTATCTAAAAGTTTAATTCCCAAGCAGTTTGTAAAAAGTTTAGCTATAACAATGTGTTCCTGATAACAGTAAGCAACTGTTGGCCTCCTAGTGTGAGACAGGCAAACATTTTGTGCAGATCTTACAGTGTGCAACCCCCTGACTTTAGAGCACATGCCCCATCAATATGCTTGCAGTTTTTCCCATCACTTCACTTTTCAAACAAAGATTCCAGTTGACAAAGTGTGGCTGAATTATGACTTGAGAAGATGACACATTTGAAATTCTATTATCAGCAGAGGGAAGATCAGGTTCTAAGTGGAGCTGTCCTAAAAACAGAATATGCATTTTGCTGGAAATTCTGAAACTGTGACATCATTTTCATCCTGCTTCAGAATGGACAGGTGAAAAATATGCCGTTTTTATCAGATGTCAAGGGTTAAAAGAAATATTTTTGGAATAAGAAGAATTTGAGTTAGAAATTTTGACCTGGGATCCTGGCTCATAAGCAAAAATCTGGCAAGGTCTGGAATATTCTAATTTTCTCATATTGAGAGGAAAAATATTTACTCTGAAAAATTATTATAAATGTACCTGTTGATTCAATAAATCTTGTGATAGACAGTACAAGAAGAGAAAACTGACAGACATACTTAAGCTTTCATAAATACAGGAGCAAGTGTGTACAGGCACACAGTGATGTTTGAAGAAAACTGGGAACACTGAAGTTGCTATGGGTGCCAGAACACTGTGTGGCTGCCAGAACTTATCTCTGATTGACCTGTTGAAGTAGTTTGTAAAGGAGCTGATTGCATGCCAGTATGACAAAGGGGAAAAAAAAGTAGTATTTTGTCAAATTCTCACTGAGTGTTCAAGAAATTATAAAGTCCTGGAAAATTAAAATTAAGGGTCTGGTGAGGATTGTACTGAGTTCAGTGATGGGGTAAGAGGTGACCTAATTTCTGAGACAGGACTGAAAACCAGTGGTGCCCAGTTCTTCACAGACACCCACTGCTTTCCTGGCAGCAGCTCAGAGCCTTGTACACCAAACCTGAGTATGCTTTCAACAGGCTTGTCTTAGTGGGTAACTTTTCATAATTGGTCCTTAAAATCTCAAGAGCCTGTGGACCCCCATTTCAAAAGTACTGAGTCTCATTCAAGAACTGGTATGCTCAAATGTTCCTAACTTTAATTTCTCTTCTGTGCACAGCTGTCCACTTCTTTGGATAGCAGCAAGGAAATCTTATGGCAAAAAAATAGTGTTCAAACAGCCACATCACTGAAACAGAATTCAGACCTGACAAGCCATCTGCTGCATTACAGTAACATGAGGAGTTTTTAAAAGTTTCGCTAATGAAGTAAAGGAAAATAAATCATTACCATATAGATCTTCTGAATAATATTTTTAATACATAACAAGCCTCATTTTCTGATGTCTTTAGTACAGATGTTGAATAAATACAAGTTTCCACTAACAGACAGATTTGATGCTTTTTTTGCCAATGAGAATTACATGTTCCTGGCAAGGTGAAAAATCCTTCTATTAGGACTGGGCTGGCACCCCAGTACTTCCAAGCCGTTGTGCAATGGGCAGTTGCAAGCTGTCGACTTTCCTATGATTATGAAGAAGACATGCTACTATTAGGAACAAATATAAATTTATAGTGCAAAATGGGACAACATAGCAGAACTCCTTTTAGAGCTCTAAAGGGCAAAAAATAAGAGCTTAATCATTGGAGAGCTGTGAAAGCTGTCCCTCCCCTTTGCACCTCCCTGCAGTGCAATGTATAATTCACACACAGCAAAAGCACAGTTGCAGCTGTGCACAGTGTGAAAAAAGCACAAAATCACTCAGTGAAGAGATCTGTAAGAATCTGATTCATGCTGTCTCTTTAAAATGCTGATTCCTCAGACCCTTCTTTCATTTTCTTTACCTTCTGCTATACCACTGACAACTTCTGACCCGCCTTCCATTGCAACCAAACATTCTCTTCGGTAGCAAACCTGAGTTGTGCTTATCAAGGAGGTTTTGCAGTACATCATTAACTCTTTTGGTTTCTTGACATAGCAGGTCATCATTTTAATTATACAAAGTTGCTGCAAAGGTTGTCATAAATTAGCAGGTTTCATTTTAGGGTCTAAATAATCTCCAAGTATATTAGGAAGCACTACAGAAGAAGGTAGAAGAATGAAAATAATATATGCACACATTGTTATGCTATTGTCATTGAAAAACTCTTATTTCATGGTAATTCACATGGTAATTGAGCTAGGAAATGCTTGTAAGGATATACAGCTAATATTCAACAAGTGGTAATAAGATGCATTTATGTTACTGCAGCACAAAGTGTGCAAATTCAATTCTCTGGATGTCTCAAGGACATACTCACTCTGTGAGACAAACATCTAAATATAGTTTTCCAAAAAGTGCCAATAGAGAGGTATTTCTTCTGCTAGACATATTAAAGATGAATTACATTTGGAACTGATCCATTTAGTTATAAAACTACCCCATATGCCTATTTTGTCTTTTAAGGCCCCCAAGCAGAAAACCCTATATATGATAAGCCATCTGGAGATGTGTTATTAGAAAATCATTACTGTAAGCTGTCCCTGATCCAGTTCACAGGTGTATAACTCAGTTAATTTCAGTGGCATTTTAAATAATGTCTGGTTGGATACTTGACTTGCTCTTCATAGTAGGAGCATTTGTCTTAATAACATGAGTATGGTGTTGCCATTTCTTTTAAGTCACAGTGATTTGGAAATTTGCATATTTGCATCATACACAAATAATTCATCCTTAAAGCTTTTCCATCCCCAAGTCTGTATTTCCTAGTATATACATTTATGTGAGCAAATTACTGAAGATGTTTGGTTTGTAATAACACAGGTAGCAGATACATTTAAATTATCTAACATGGTTTATGGTATACCTTGCACAAAGGAAAAAATGTGAAACTTTGTTTTTCTGATTTTCTTTTCCTGAAGAATTTATTGAAATATGTAAAGCAAATAAAGCCCAGTTAGCTTCTTCTGAATAGCCTTTTAAAAACATTTACATAAACAAAAGAAAATTAAGATGGTTTGGAATAGATATTGGTTAGGCAAAATTTTCTCCATTCTTGATCTTCCCTGGGAAAGAGAGAGTTAAAAATAGTATTGCAAAGTCTTCTACTTGCAAAGATGAGTTAAGCCTCAATTCTACTTAAAAATATTTGAATACAAGAGAATAGGTCGGTGGCAGGGATTCAGCTGGCAGAGATCAGACTGACTCCAGTTAAATGATAATATTTTTCCTCCTTCAAGGTTTCCAAATGTTCCTCTGAAAGGGAAATGGAATGTGTTGCAGTTTTTGCTCCCATCAATTTTTCTGAGAAACTTCAAAAGAGGATTAAGTCCTGGACCTAACACAAAGGACACAGTCACTAGCTTCAGAGAGATTTTTAATGAGAAGTTCAAATTAAAAATGCACTTCTTTTTTTTTGGGTTTTTTTTTTTTTCCCCAGCAATGGTTACCCATTGTTATAAACTGAAAATAAATATAGGAGAAATATAACCTGATATATATATATATATATAAGGAACAGGGGGACAAATATGCTATTTTTATGTGTCATTACTCAATGGCAGAATCATCAGGGTCCTGTTTGAGTTCTAAATGGAAAAGTAATAAGAAAAATAGGATTATTTAAGTAATCAGAATTTCCCTCTAGATGACCTCCTGAATGAGGATACATTTAGATTAGATATTAGGAAGAAATTCCTTATTATGAAGGTGGTGAGGTACAGGGACAGGTCACACAGAGAAATTAGGGATGCCCCATTCCTGGTCAAGGCCAGGCTGGATGGGGCTTTGTGCAGCCTGGTCTAGTGAAAGATGTTCCCTCCCACGGCAGGGGAACTTTAACTAGATTATCTTTAAGGTTCCTTCCAACCCAAACCACCCTTTGCTTAGGCTGAATGTTTTTCATCAAAACTTTGTGCTGATGATCACTTCTGGGCAAATACCTCTTTGTGTTAGCAAGAAAATTCTAGAGTTTATGCAGTGCAGAATATTTACTGTTGAAATTATAAGGAGCTACTTTAATCAGATTATCATCTCCCTGATAAATTTAAAATTAGACATTAATTACACTGTCTTCTATTGTCCCC